TATCATCGGCATAGCACATCACAGAGTTTTTCACAGAGCTACCCAAGTCTATAGTATAAATTAAGTACAACAAGGGCCCTAAAACTGAACCCTGAGGGACACCTGATGTTATATCAATCGGACTAGATATAGTGTTGTCTATCTCTACTACTTGTTCACGATTTGAAAGATATGTTATAAAAAACATTAGAATGACCCCACATAAAGTAATCCAAAGGTGATAAATCTGGCCATCTTGGGGGCTATTCAATGGCACCTCTTCTACCAATCCATCGATCTGGAAACGTCTGATCTAAATATTGTCGAACACGTAATGCGTAATGTGGTGGGGCACCATCCTGTTGGAACATCAACCTATTCGCAATGAACCGCCGATCATTCTGATTTTCAATTATGGCTGTTAATGCAGGATCTATGACGTCTTCCAATAATTCCAAATACATTTCACCGGTCAAATTTCCAGGTAAGAAAAAGACTCAACTAAATGATCGCCAAAAATACCAGCCCAAACATTTAATTTTTGTGGCTGCTGTGTATGAACCTCATGATAAATTCTGGGATTAGAATCGGACCAATATCGGCAGTTATGACGATTTACTACGCCATTTAAGAAAAAGGAACAGTCTTCGGAAAAGCAAGTCTTGAATAGAAAATGTTCATCGTCTATAATTCGTTCACTCATATCTTCACAAAATTGTGATCGCCGATCAAAATCGTCTTCATTAAGCTCCTGTTATTAAAGGCGAAATAATTTCAGAATTGGAAAATAAACCATTTTCTATTTTATTGGATGAGAGTGCCGACCTGAGCAATACAAGACTACTATGCATTCTTGTAAGGTATATTCATAAAAATTCAATTAAAACCCATTTATTAGATATAATTAAAATAAACGCAGATAAAGGTACCGCCAAAGGTTTATATTCTCTTTTTAAAAAATGCGTTATATCCAATCCAGTAAAAATTACCAATATTGTTGGATACTGTTCCGACAATGCTAGTGTTATGATGGGCAATAACGAATCTTTCAAAACTTATCTTTTAAAAGATAATCCTAATATAATTGTCAATGGCTGCATTTGCCACTCTGCTCATTTAGTGGCGATGGCGGCAGCTGAAAAGATTCCAAGCAACGTTGAAGCTCTTTTACAAAACTTATATTCTTACTTCTCAAGAAGCCCAAAAAGGCAGTGTGTTCTTGAAGAATTACAGGAATATTTCAAAAAGCCAAAATTAAAAATTTTAAGCCCTAGTAAAACAAGGTGGCTTGCTTAATCCAAATGTGTTGATAGAGTTTTGGATCAGTGGGACATCTTGCTTAGCCTATTTAGATTAGCTTCCATTGAAGACAAAAATCCTGTAGCAAATGTAATACTTAATGAGTTACAGAATCCATTTGTTAAGGCGTATTTAATGTTTTTTAAATTCGTGTTGCCCATTTTTAACCAATTTAATGCTCTCTTTCAATCAGAGAAAGTTATGCTCAATATCACATCAATAGAGAGTGAGCGATTTGTACGTCATCTATGTACAAACTTTATGCGATCAGAATATTTTAAAAATGAGAAATTATATAATCTAAATCCTAATGATCCCCACTGCTTATTACAACAAGTGAATGTTGGTCCGCATACAATGGATGCAATAAAACACTGCAATAACACGGCAATCGAACAATTTAAATTAATATGTGTCACATTTTACCAAAAATCGGTAGAAGAGTCCCTTAAAAGATTTCCTATGAAAGACAACTTCTTTTCAGAGCTAAAGTTTCTCTCACCAGTTGATGTGATGAACAATCGTCTTATTATAAGTGATACCTTTCATGACGCCGTTTTAAAAAAATTTACCCTTCATATTGAAACCGAAAAGGCAATTTTGGAACTAAAGAAAATATGTTTTTATTTTAGTGATAGTGAGAAAGAGGAAATTTTAAAAACAAAAAGTAATGTAATTGAATTTTGGTCGTTTTGGTCGCCTCAAAAATTTTAGTGACGAATATTTATTTCGCAATATAGGTAAACTGGCTCTAATCATTTTAACATTGCTGATGTTGAGCGAACTTTTTCTTATATGCTTGATTACAAAACAAAAAAAAGAAATAAAATAATACCATCAACTTTATCTGCACTACTTACAATTAAATTAGACTTGGAATCAAAAAAACAGTGCTGTTTATCCTATAGTTTTAATGAGAATCATTTAAACAAATATAAAAAGAATTTATATAATGTAAATAAGGAAGAACAAGCTGAAGAAGAAGTAATTTCTGATTCTGACTGCGAATAAAATGAGCAAACGTAGGCATTTCCATTTCTTCTTCTTTGTCCTTATTTTTTTTTCTTGTAAGATTAAGATATTGGTGATAGTTTCTATTTTTTTATTAGTTTCTAATTCTAGACCAAAGACAGTTTTGTTTTTTTAGAGGTATACTTTTTATGTTTTTACGAAAAATTGCAATTATATTATGTTACTGTTTGTATTTTTGGTAGGGTTTTTAGACAGTGTTTAAAAAAAAAGTAAATATGTAAAAAATATATTTGTTGTTTATTTTAAGACCCCCCCTTAAATGTTGAGACCGTAGCGGCATGTAGCGGAATTTTGCGATACGTGTGACGGATATTTTAAACTTCGCTCTGGCAACACTGCATGTAGGCTTCCGCCTACGCGAAAGCTTCGGCGTAAAAAAATCCCTAGTCGTCAGCCTTTCATGCTTTCATCGAACCCGTTTCCAATACATCGATTATCATAAAAACTTCTTCCGTTGTCGGCCAAAAAACTTTTTCGCATTGTCACGACATGCCAGAGAATAGTCGTACGCCGTTGCACTCTCTGCCATTGGAAGTTGCGAGTTCGAAGTTGGGCGATGTTTCCATTCTGGTCCGTTTGACTGAAATTACCGTTGGCCCCGTCGTCGGCACGCCGCATCGCGTCAACGTCGGGCGGCGAGGCGTCATCGTCCGACGGCAGTTACATTGCGGCTTTTCCTTCTCTTTCTAACTGCCGACGCAGCGTCAGCATCCCGCCATTCTCTGATGCGACGTTGCCGTTCGGGTTAAAGGATAAAACAGCCCGCACCCGTAAAGCCTCGCAACCGCAGAACCAGGTACCTTAGACCATGGTCCCAGTTGACACCCTCTAACTGGAACCTTGACTAGGAGAACCCGCGGTTGCATCCCCCTCCCCCCCCCCACGGCGTGGATGCAGAGGACCAGGAACCACCGGGACCAGGACCCACCAGGACCAGGACCAACCAGGACCAGGACCCGCCACGACCAGGACCCACCAGGACCAGGACCCACCAGGACCAGGACCCATCAGGACCAGGACCAGGAACAATATATAGGTAAGACCTGAAACTCTTGATATTTCGAAGAGAACCTAGCAGTCCCTCTATCGATGATCGCTAACGACATCGATAGAATGTGCGACAACCTGGAGTCCCACACTCGCCGTAGCTCGGGCTATGGTATGGTGCATAAACGCATTCCCCCCTCACCAAAAAAAAAAAACCCGTAAAGCATCCCACAAACCGGCGCGAAATAATCGCGGCGAAGTATTCGCAACGAAATTCAGAGCGAAATTCGCAATCTGTTTCGCCTGTTTATTCATACCAAAGCGTCTTTTTCGCTCCGCGAACGTGAAGGTTTCGACAGGTTGCGTACATTTTATTTTTGCCTTTTGCAATGAGCTCGTCTTCAGAAGAAGAGGAGGCACTTCTATTTCTTGCTTTAGAAGAGGAACAAAATGCACGGTAAGTTATGTTTATTTAACGCCATTTGATAGTTGGGTATGTATTAAGTTTAACGAAGTACATAAAACAAATATTTTCAATTTTGTTTAGGAAACGAAGGAAGTGGGTACATGATATTAACTTGGAACGAAATAAATTTGGGGAATACGATACCTTGATGCCACAACTTCGGCTGGATGAACAGCGCTTTTACGTATATTTTAGAATGACTCCAGAGTGTTTCGATGAAATATTGAACTTGGTGAAAGATGAAATACGAAAATCTGACACAAATTATCGTGAAGCTATTTCGCCAGAAGAACGACTTGCTATTACACTCAGGTAAAAAAATTATATGTATTAAAATTAGTAGGCTTATCGAATACGAAAACTTCAGGGATCGTGAAATAAATATTTTATTGTAATAATTGGACTACATGTTGCCACTAGGATTAAATGTTGCTAAATAATTCGAGGCAGAATTTGCCTCCTCTGTTGGGTATATTATTGGAGTAAACCCAGTGCCGCTTGGGAAGGACGACATACTACTATCATACATACTTGCAGAATTCTGGGTAGACGCTGAAGACATTTCTTCAATATGTTCAAATTCTTCGTGCGCTATCAATTCGGCTATTTTTAGTTTTATTCGGGCTTGACGCTTTAAGGGAAGTGTTTTCACAGTCTGTGCATGTGCCAAGAAAAGTGAATCTATGGTCTCGATCTCTTTTTTAGGTTTTTTACCTTCAAAATAATTAATGAGCTGTTGTACAGACGAAGATGGTGGTTCATAGCGTTTTCTGCTCGTTTTATATTTTGGTGTAGTTGCAGTCTGCGGAAAGGTGTGCCCTGGAGTAGTCACTGCTGTAGTGTTCAATGAAGAAGGTGGTGCTGTCTGTGTTGCCGAGGCGTTCTGTGCATCTTCTGCATCTACATCAGCATTTTCATCTTCTCCATGGCCGCGGTCTTCCAAATTTTCGGTTTCTACATTTCCAGCACTTTCCTGATATATATTTGAGTTAAATTCGGCAGTCTCATAATGTATGACGTCAATATCTTTCACATTAGACGACGTTTTGGCAAATGCCAAAAAAGGACGGAAAAATTCCATGTACTCAGCCCACTGCCATTTTTTTATGTTGCCCACTGCTTGGCCGGTCTTTGGTTTGGTAGATTTTATATATTTTGCAAATGTGTCTCTGATATTCTTCCACCTTTTTTTTTACTTCATCACCTAGAAACGATTTTTTTATACATTCCTTGCCACTGGTGACACCTTCTATACCATTGGGCATAGCTTTCGAGTTGGCTTTACAACAGTGAGTGCAATCGTAACCGAAGTCTGTGAAGCGATATGCAGACATGAGCATATATATTTACCAGAACCAACAGAGAATATATGGAAAAAATGTGCTGAAGAATTTTAAAATAGATGGGGATTTCCCAATTGCATTGGCAGCGTGGGCGGTAAACATGTAACAATCAAAAGACCTAACAACAGTGGCTCCGATTACTGGTGCTATTTACATAAATATTGAATAGTACTTATGGCCATTGTTGGCCCGGACTATGAATTTATATGTGTTGATATTGGTGGTTTCGGAAAAAATAGTGATGGGTGTATTTTCGAAACCTCAAACATGGGAAAACGATTTGAACAAAATTTAATGAGTGTCCCTGCACATAGATTTCTCCCTGGGCAAAATGAAATCTGCTCGTACGTCTTAATTGGTGATGAAGCATTTGCTTTAAAACCATACCTTATGAGACCATTTCCTTATAAGCAGACTTTAACAGACGTCAGAAAAGAGAAATACATAAGATAAGACTTTGTCGAGCTAGAAGGGTCGTGGAAAATGCGTTTGGTATTTTGTCTCAAAAATGGCGAATATTTTACAGGCCATTAGAAACTAAAGTAGATACTACTATTCTAATTGTACGTACGGCATGTGTTTTACACAATTTTTTACGAAGTAAAAGTGGCGATGACAAATATTTTCAATTCTTAGATCCCCCAGAACCCGTGCTTGGAGCTTTTACTGATATAGCAAATGATCCTCGGCGGGCAGCAAGGCTAGCATTTTCTACTCGTGACAAATTCGTAAATTATTTTAATTCTGATATGCCTATGCCCAATATATAGAATGTTCGTTTTCACATTTGTGTAGACTGTAAATTATTTAACAAGTTAATAAAAAATATTAGGTACACACCATTTGTATTTAATTCTTTTCCTATTTCCATCCAAATCTTGTCTGTCTTTCTCACATTCCTGTATTCATCGTTCGACAAATCATACAAACAAGGATACTTTTTCACTATTTCTATCAATAATTCCGTTTTTGCCATTGCGAATTTTTGAAGAACGGCGTCAAAAACGCGGTCAAAGGCGAACTGAAATACGCCGCGATGAAAACGCTGGAACAATCGCATTCGCTTCGCACAAGTCTGAGCCTGTCCGTAAACCGCCGCGTTTTAATCTGATCGCGAATTCATCGCCGCGAAATTTTCGCAGCCAAAGCGAATATTTCGCGCCGGTTTGTGGGATGCTTTATATCGCAGCGGATTAATCGCGTCGGTTTGGGGGATCCTTAAAGGATAAAACGGCCCGCACCCGTATTATGTAAAATAATCGCTATGACAGCGGTCTGATCGCAGTACTTGTCACTTATGTACGAGAGCGGTCCGATAAGCACTTAGCCCCACCGCTCGATGGCGCCACATTTGTTATCGTGCACACAAAAAAGAGTGCTCTTGATTCAAGAGCATGAGTTTCTATGAAATTGATACTGATGATATTGATTCGAGACCACAGATACTCCAAAAGAGGTAATTTTGTTATTTTAAAGAAACGTAGCACTTACAATTGAGAAATTGACCTTCATTCAAAGATATGTGTCTTAGGGCCGATTTCAACAACATTAATATTATGGACCAATGGGAAAATACCTTATCGAAATGCAATTTGACAGAAGCTGTCAAAGGTTTCTGAATATTAGTGATTTCTATTGAAATATTGAATAAACTCGTGAAAATTCGACTGTGTTATAAACAAGACCACTTTTTGATTCAAACATGATGCTTTTGTACAGAAAAAACAGGACAACTTTCATGTATTTTGATATATGTTATAGGTTTACATTTAACAATCCGTTATCCCCCTCAGCGAATGGGAATGCGGCACATAATAGGTCGATTTTCTAGCTGTTAAATTTGGCAGCAGATTTGGACGTTTGTTAATGCATGGCAATCTCGAATTTACCAACTTCAATATACTGAAAATTATCATTACATACCTGTTGAATAGTGTAGATTTGTCTGTATTTTGCAAGAAAATAGAATATAAGATACATTCCATCCAATTCCTCATCTTCCTTTACATTATAATAGTAATCATTTATTAATTTATGGGTTAATGAATTTCTTCAAAGCAATAAAAACATTGTTCTCTCCATACTAAAACACAGATAATATGTGTATGACGTGTCAATCCCTACATCTCCGTGATGCGTAATACAATTACTATGGACATGACAAAAAAAAAAAAATATGAAAAATGTCTCACAAATAATGTATTTTTTGTAAGTCCAAAAATGATAAAAACTAGTAATGTTTAATGTTTCTCTTTTTGACTGGTGCACTGGCGGGGATATCTATCTGTCACTCGCAGGGTTGCCAAGTCTAACGACGATCACGTCCCGTGGTAGAGGGTGCGAAATGAATCTTTTACATTTGCTGGTTTTGATTTTTTTTCGTAGATGTATAATCCGCGGTACCGACGCAGCTATTTTGGGGCGTCACTGAAATAATTTTAAATTTTCATTTTCATTTTTTCAAGTGTTGTGCAATGATTTTGGGAAAAATTCCACGAATAGTCTTATAAAGCATAGTAGAGTATATTTCAACAGTTGGCGGAGCGTACTCCACTGGGAAACGGGATATTAATGCACAATCTGGCAACCATGTTGCATCCTCAAAAAATGGCCGCTAACAACCACACAAGTCACCGTGTTGTCATTGAATAGCATGGAATTAAACCTTCAGAGTATATGTTTTGTGACTGGTACCAAGAGTTGACAGATCCCACACATGTGTCACTCCTTGAAATGCAATAATCAGCTGTATTCAAATAATGTCTAATATAAATATAACCTAGAATGTGTACTCGGGAAAAAAGACAAAAATGGCAAATTTGTAGTTTTTTTGCAGGTTTTAGGTTTGCTGGTAGCTTTAAGGCATATATTTGGGAATTTCTTAATCGCTGTGAATATAGTGTGGATGTTTGTTCAGTTCCAGAACAACGAAAAATATTCAACTTTATGGATGTATGGATATCAAAAAACCTGAATAGTTTTGTGGGAATATCAATCTAAGGTGCCATAATGGTTCTGATGAACGGCAAGTAAATGAATGAACGCTTGGAAACGAGCAATATCTTTTGGTAGAGCCTGTCATCAAGTAGGTGCTTAATGGCTATCTGCAAGAGGTTTATACGAAAAAACACCCAGTATCACATATCAATTGAAGAAAATAATATAAACATGAATAAAAAATCAACAATAGTAATTAAAACATGAATTTAATTCAAAAATCAAACGTTTCTTAAAATTTTGACTGAATTATATGTAATTTCTTAATATTCAATAAGCTGGTGATGTTTCAATGACAAGTTGTCATCTCATACTTTGACAGTATTTTATTTTCAACATTTCTTAGCTATTAGCTGCTAAAATTTGTTGATTGGAACTTGAAGCTCATTCGCTGTATCTGACAGTGTGCACTGACTGTGCATTCCACACAACATTAAGCCAGCATTTTGGTGTTCAGGCAACAACAATAGAGAGCTTTTATGGCTGAACGGTTCTTTTACCAAAAGCTTATAGCACTACTTTGCTAGTTGGGATGTTTCCACACCTAAGCTACGCACTCGGTTATCTTCCCTTTCCCTTCAAACACAGAAATTCATGATGATGGATCCCCCGAACGCTAAGAATTCCAGACCTAAACACACTCCATTCTGGGAATGTCCGGGTGGAGCGTGGACTGTTTCACAAATCAAGGTACACAGAAGTTTCTTACAAAACGCCACTGTAGAGAACAGGCAAGCCGATGTCGAGTCCAGAAACAAATATAACGACTGCTTAAGTATATAAAAAAATGTATTTGTCATATATGAGAATCTGAATCATTTTCCTTTGTATCGGCAACATGGCACGGAAGCTCGCGCGACTTTTTGCCAGTGTTTCCGGCCGCTGCCGATGGCGAAAGTAAAATTTTCGGCAGAAGTGGGCGGGCGAGGGGCGGCCGGAAAAGAGAGGCAGGGGAAGGGGGCGGCGGGCGGTTGGAGGATAGAGGAGGAAGAAGAAGGGCAACGACCACTTCCGTACCCCGCTCCCACTGTACGCAGTGACGTCGTTTTGTGCAGTGCAACTTCAACGGACAATGGATTACGATTCCGTTATTCCGATAGATATCGATATTGGATACGATGACTGCACGGTTATTTAGTACTTGGAACTCGTATAAATGGTATCATTGCGGGCCACAGTCGAGGAGATACGGAAACATTCCAGGCCGCGACTCGCACTGTGTACAAAATTAAATTCATGTTTAGACCTTTAAAAATTGTAGTTTTTAAAAACCAAAGACCCAAAATTCAGTTCAGGACAAGTAACAGTTCTTAGATCTATTACAGCTTAAATATTTACATAAAACAATTCCTTTTCTTTCTCTTCTCGTTCCTACTTCCTTCTTTTCTTGCTTTCTCTACACTTTCCCCTACAACTTGTCTGGTTTCTGGGCCGCCAGACCTGACAGACTGACGACAGACATTACAGTGACAGACCTTAAGGCTAACGTCCTCCGGACCGCCTTGAGAAGCACCGACGATTAGTAACGGGTGATTCATTTAGAGGTACTTTTTTGGTGTGGCTGTAATTGCTTATGGCGCATGCGTCATGACAACTCATTTGACATTTCTGTTTCAGTATTGGTCGAAATTTCATCATGGAAAGACTTAGTCCAGCACAGCGTCTACAAATAATTCAGCTGTACTACGAAAATCAACGTTCTGCGAGAAGTGTGTTTCGTGCACTTAGAGCAACTTATGTTGTTCATACTAAATAGACGATATCCAGCACGCAGTGAAGAAAATATAGCTGAGAGTATACGTGAGGACCGTGAAGAATCGATTCGGGGCCGTTCTCAACAGCTTGGCTTGTCGTATTCAACAACTTGGCGTATTTTACGTAAGAATCTTAATTTGAAATCATACAAAATTCAACTCGTTCAAGAA